CTCTACACCACGGACATTAAACTGGTGCAGTTTTGCTACTGAAACTATCTGATACTGAAGTAAAAGCTGGACACAGAAACAACTGTTGTGGAAACTGAAAAAAAGTTGTTTTTTTTTAATTTGGGAGACTTGACTGCATTTTTTTTTTACTGTGTCTTTTATCCCTGAAAATGTAATGTAGCTACCTCTTGTGCAGAAGGTATAAGGGATCACAAATACTGAAAAAAGGCAACTTACAAAATGTCAAATTTCAAACCACCTACATAAAAATGCTCATACATAGAATGAAAGCAAAATAAGTTGATTCTAATCAGCTAATTCTGAGGGATCAGTAAGGAAATTTAGTCCAGTTTAAACAGATTTTATATGGAATGATCTAGAACTACAGCATATTCCAACTCTTTAAACGCTGTACTTACTAAGATATTCTTGAAGTGCCAGTTTCTGAACCTGGCTCACTCTTCTCTCTCTCCTCAGCATGTAGTCTCCGTGCAGACATGGCAGAGACTGGAGGATGTTGCCTGCAGCAGCTCCTGATAAGCAGAAAAACAATAATGACATTTTTAAAGAAATCAGTAAGACAGCTGATATTTCTCTTGTTTGCGGGGACACTCGACATATTTTCCACAAAAAGTTGACAGAAAACTTTCACAGAAATGATGACAAGATATAAAAGGCAGCGAAGGACTAGTGAAAGATTCGTCCGAGCTGGGTGATGGGGTTGTGGGATCCGGTGTTTCTCAAGCAACTTTTCTCAACAAATGTTTTTAACTGTGTCATAATTATACTGCAAATTTGTGTGATGGAGTAGTACAGTGCTGTAATCCTGGAGGACTTATTGCAGTTGTGACAAAAGACAAACCTGTAGAGTCACGAGATGATTTATAAGATACAAAAGAGGACAAAGCATCCATTTGCAAAACAAAGAGTATTTTGTCTAATCTTCCTGTGCATGCAACCTGTGACAAATGGTTTAAAGCAGACAATACTTCATCTTGTAGACAACAAGCATCGGAAACAAGTAGTTGGGTTAGTGCTCCAATATTTTGCAGCAAACATATGTTTCCTTAATTAAATTTGCAACTCTTTTTGAATGATTTTTCTAGTACATGACAAGGCGCATAATTAGAATTTCACGATTTTGCTCAGGTGCACATCCCTCAGTATTTTCATTCAAACTATGCTGTGTCATTGAAGCAGTCAGGGCATATTTTATAGTGTTGCTCTGCATTTAAAAGTATCTAAAGTAAAGGAAAATGTCCCCTGAAGGTTGCATAAAATGTTAACAACAACAGGAACACTCTCGAGAGGAAACATCATAGCAGGTCTCCTGAATCACATTTAAAGCCTGAGAACGATGAAGGACTTTTATGAGAAGAGGATCTTTTTCGTTTAGGCAAAAAGTATATTTTTCTTTTCATAGACGATCACCCATCTGGTTATTTATAGCCTGAAAAGTCCACACAGTAAATGATCTATGCATCATGTCAGTCCTCTCGCCCATTTCTCTGTTGGTCTCTCTCCTATATAAAAAAATGAATGAAATAGTGAAAGCATCAAGAGAGCCTGTGCAACAGTTCAATGCGATGAAAGCAGATTGGTGCAGTGAAGAAAGAAATGGAGGCAAAAAAAAGAAGATTTAAGCTTTGATAAATACAATCTTTGGCACTTGGATGGGCAGCAGTGTTAAAGACTATAAGCTTCCAGTACAGCCTAACGTGATGAACAATAACCACCTCACAGCTTCTGTGGGAGAAGCCTTCTGTGGGCTTCTACTCCAGTCAAGCTGAGGAGCGGCATTAAGCGAAAAGCCACTTGAAGGGCTTTTTTTTTTTTTTTTAAATATGGCAGATAACAAATTGCTGTTAGAACTTCCAAAAGTACAAATATTGAGAAACTACTAAAGTGCTCTTTAAATGTGATTACAGTTGAACAAAACTTCCCCAAAGGGGGAAAGGAGAGACCTGAAGGGGACATGAAATTAAGAGACTTTTTATTTTAGTTCGACCACTTGCTTAGTTGAAGCTGTGACACAGAACTCACAGGGTCAAGTAAGTTTCCTTAAAACCCTTTTTATAATCACGTTTACTATACCCAAAATACCATTCCCAATGTTGTCCATCATGATTAAACATCCACCTGCCCAAGAACAGCCATGTTTGAAACCTTTTTTAAGAGACAATGATTGGGTTCACTGCAAACAGGAACTAATAATAACAAGAAGCACTCAGACCACAGAGCTGTGCCAAGCCAGCTCGTTCTCTGGGCAGTATTTACTTTTAAAGGAATTTTTGTATTGTTCAATATTCACTTGCTTTTCTTTAAGAAGTTTGTAGTGCAGATGTAAAAGGTAAAAGTGGGATCAGAGGTCAAATGTGACATGATATTTGGATACAAACTATATTGCAATATTTAGAATCCCCATATGCCATTCCCTATATGCCTATATGTTACAAACAACGTACAGTAAAAACAATGGCAGTATGAAATAGTTCTAAATAGATTTAGCCAAGTGGCGGAAGCCTTTCACCTGGGTGGTATCAGAATCTCATCTCTGCTTTTTGTAGATGTGGTTCTGTTGGATTCATCAAGTGATGGCCTCCAGCTCACACTGGAACGGTTCGCAGACGAGTGTGAAGCGGTGGGAATGGGAATCAGCTCCACCAAATCTGAGGCCATGGTCCTTAGCCAGAAAAGGGTGGAGTGCCCACTATGAGTCAGGGACGGGTTCCTGCCCCAAGTGGAGGAGTTCAAGTATCTCGGCGTCCTGTTCACGAGTGACAGGTGAAGGGAGTGGGAGATCGACAGACGGTTTGGTGCTGCGGCTGCAGTGATGCGGACGCTGCACCGGTCCGTCGTATTGAAGAGAGAGCTGAGTATAAAAGCGAAGCTCTCCATTTACCATTTGATCTACATCCCTACCCTCACCTATGGTCACGAGCTGTGGGTGGTGACCGAAAGAACGAGATCATGGAAACAAGCGGTAGAAATGGGCTTCCTCCAAAGGGAGTCTGGCCTCTCCCGTATAGATAGGTTGAGAAGTTCAGCCATCCGGGAGAGTAGAGGTGCTGCTCCTCCACATCGAAAGGTTGAGGTGGTTTGGACATCTGACAAGGACGCCTCCTGGGCACCTCCTGGGGGAGGTGTTCCAGGCATGTGCCACTGGGGAGAGGGAGATGTGAGTTTCCCTGCTTAGGCTGCTGACCTGCTGACCTGACGGGATCTTGCTCTATTCCCACATGAGTGTAATTAGACATCACACAAGCTTTGTACTAGATGGCAGGCAGGTAAAAGGCCATGTGATATCCAATCAGACTGAGTGGAAAACGTATTATTACATGCACATCTGTTTCCTAATGCCTATGAAAGTGCAGTGCAGAAGTGGATCTGTGAAAATGGCTACAGACGCCCACCTACAAATTTTTCCACATAAAATACCTGATGATGACAGAGGCTTCTCTCTCAGTAATGCGGACACAGTTGCCATGGCAGCCGCTCCATTAATTTGACTGTCTGAGTGCAGCATCCTGACCCTGCAGGCTTCACGCTCAGCGTTGTCCGAGCCCTGGACCAACAGGAAGTAGGCAGCACTCTCACCTTTGACCTCAACATCGGGCACTAAAAGAAAAGAAAAACAGGAGCATTTGTTACTTATATCGACTGATCTCAGAAGTTTTTTTTTTTCTTTTTTTAATCTTTCTATTTTGCTTCACTGCAGAACTGAAAAATAACTCACATTTTGTATGACTATTATTTCATCCTAATGTTTCTTCTTGGTGCATCATTGCCAAAAACTGTTGTTGTTTCAAGCATTATCTTGTATATCTATTCAGCACCACTTCAGAGCCTTCCCAATGGAGAACTTTATAACTCTATTACTCTATAACTCTATTACCTATACCAGTATAGTCCCACTAACCAATGTACTTCCCTGCAGAAGAGACAGCTCTTTTCTGTTGCTGCCAAAGCGACTGTGACACTCCAGTTTTACCTGGTAAAGACTTTGGTCTCCTAGATAGAGATTCTCTCCAGCGCTGGGAGCTGAGTTGGCTGGCTGCAGGCTGTGCAATGGGAGTGATTACACAGGACAGACTGAACAAAGCTCCGACCTAGAGACAGAAATACAGCAGATTGGCATACACACAGTCCCCAACCAAAGTCATTAATGATCAATATCAATATCAATATCTATATCTATCTATCTATCTATATATCTATATCTATATCTATCTATCTATCTATCTATATCTATATCTATATCTATATCTATCTATCTATCTATATCTATATATCTATCTATCTATCTATC